ATTTCCCCCATGAAATTTAAGTTTCAAGTGGTCACTCTAATTTCATTTGTGTCTGTAACGCGATATCCCTCACTTTTTGCACTTTATTGACCTCGTTTAAGAGGCTAATAATGATCAAAAACACTTTGTGTGTTTATGGTAGTACTAGTAATACTACTACTTTATGCAAATAAACCCGAACCGCTTGAGGTGTATTAAAGGCACATGCTCAATGTATCTTTTGTTTTGCTCAATAAAGAAAAGTTTGGATTTTTGGATTTTTTGAAGTTTTTCATTTCCTCCCCTTGGCGCCGGCGGCGCCCGCGCCACCGCGCTTAGAGGAGTGATTCGTTACCGCTAGTCCCCCGGTTCCCCACTCTAGAGTAGTGGGGGGTATTTTTCTCAATGACGGAATTTTTTATTTATTTTTATGGGGATCTACATGGATTTCTGCACGAAATAAGTAAAGCAATAAAATTTTTCACCGCACACCACCTTTCAGTAATTCCGATTTTCAAAAATTTCGGAAAATTCGAAAATTCCAACTTTGAAATATTCGGAAAATTAGAATTTTCCGATTTTAAATTGTCTAAAAATTCAATTCAAAAATTCCGAAGTTGAAATTGTCGAAATTCATATTTTTACATTGTCGGAATCACAGAAAATACCGATTTTCAAACAAAATTTCGGAGTTTCCCCATCAAAAGCGCAAAAATCGTGAAAAATCGACAAAAAATTAATAAAATTAATTCCACTCGAAACCCGCAACAACAGTTTTTGGGGTGTGCCTTTGAAGTACTGTAGTTTGAAATTTCGAAAATAAATCGAAAATTCCGGCTTCCGAACATCTGAAACATGTCTAAAAAGTTCAAATAATTCAATGATTGGAAATAAAACGATCAAATTACCAAAATAATAAAAATTCAAGCAGTTTTATTAGGATTCAAAATCAACAATTTCAGTGAGCTGTAGATGTGCTAGGCTCGGAATCCGCATAAATTTTCGGAACATTTTGCTCCTCGTCTTCCTCCTCCTCTTCTTCATCATCGTCCATCTGATCATCGTCTTGATAGTACCGGCGTGAGGAGCCGTTGAAGACCTTTCCCACGATTTCATGGTCTTCTGGAAATTAAAAGAAAATTGTAAAGAACAGAGAATTGAAGCAGACTTCCGTAGCACTTCTCCCATATGCTTTCAATGTCAATGTACTTGAATGATATTCTGAAAAATGGCATTTTTGTACTACTGCAAAGCCTGTAATAAAAGGGCACCACACTGTCCATTTTGAGCTCAAAGTTAAAAGTTAGGGGGCCCTTTTATTACAGGTTTTACGTTATTTTAAAACTTGTACGAATATCTTACTTCGACATTCCATCAATTTTCGAAGTCGCATGCTTCTTCTTATAGTGATAACGCATTTGTGACACCGATCGACCTTTGAAATCACAGTTTCGACAGCCGATGCATCTTTCAGTTTGATGGGACAGGGCATGATTAATCAGACGAAGCTTCCCTTGTTTTGTTCTCCAAAGGAAAACTTTTTCGCAACCCTGCAACGAATTAATTTTGCTCTGGAACGAAAAATCAGAGCCAGTCCCCGATACGAGTGGTGAACAGCTACCGATATTTTTGTTACTTTTTGAAAAATTGGAAAAAACTGGAGAAAAAACTCAAGCGGGGACTTTTTATTTTAGCTTAAATTTTAGCTTTGAGCTTAAAGGTGGTGTACGGTGAAATTTTTTATTGCATCAAAATGTGCAGAAATGCATGTAGATTGACATAAAAATAAAGAAAAAATTCAAAAAAATTCCTTCATCGAGAAAAATGCATCGAAAAATACGCTGAAAGCCCTTAGGGACGAGGTTTTTTCTAGGCCGCCCGGTGAGTAAAAGCGCGCGAATTCAAACTTTTAAAATTTTTTCGCTCGTTTTCACTGTTTTTT